TTTTAATATTTTTCATTCAAAATATTTTATAAACATAAAAATTGGCTTTTTTTTAATCAGAAAAAGTCATAGGGAAAGCAGTTAAACAAGAAAAACTTTTCTAAATCATTTATTTTATCGTTAGGTATTATTATAATAATAGACAGATGTCATCGTCTCTCGAAATACAATATCTTTCTTATTTCGCTGTTGATAGCTTGACACGTGCTCCGCAGCCATCTTGTATTTTCTCGTGTGCGTGGGATTGTGGGATCTCTCTTATGACTGGATCTAGTTTCGAGAACTCTCGAGTCGATCGTGATTGAACCTCGTGTTAGTCGAGATTGAAACGGTCGATGGTGGTTACACTAGGCGAACAGGGTATAAGGCTCTAGTTTAGTAGTGTTAGAGTATAATACGTATATTTTAATATATTTTTTAATAGAAACAAAATCACTGAGAAATGTTACGTGTGTTTAACAACGGGTTCGGAAAACTTTGAAAATGTTAACAACGGGTTCGACCGAACCTGTGCAAACCCGCTGAATATCACCACTGCATATACATACATGGTTTCCTTATACACAATAAATGCATACAGCAACCTTCAATTAATCATGACAGTAGATTAAGTGAATGCTCCTGAGCATTTTTTTGTAAAACATCAAACCTCAAAACTAATAGTTCTGTTTGAAACCTGGATGTACTTCACGTTACAAAACATATGCCCCTTGTTGTTATTTCTCAATTTCACTACGATGGAAACGGATTGTACTCTCGGACTGAAGATGGTCTCCCTTTCTTAATTCCTAATCTCCCGGCCTAACTCAGACGTTCTTGCTAACCTCTAACCTCGGTACTCTCTTCAAAGAAATCCAAAAACAAAACTCTCAATCGTGAGAGTCCACTAATTTATATTCCCACTCGCCAGAAGTCCACTTCACTCACGTGTCCCACCCTGGACCAATCAGAAGGCTTTTCACATGGTGCCTAAGAGGTGAGACATCATACAATACAGGAAAGCCCGATACATACTAAAAGGAAATCGAGACAAATATATATGTATATATATGATAATTATAACACATAGTCGTGTAGCACTACAAAATCTTCCCTTATTTTCAGGAATTCATTGTTCAGATTTGTGATGCTAGTTTTTTACTTGAAAAAATTCATGTTTAAAGGTAGTTTTGATTGTAAAAAATTTGCTTTAAAGGACATTGCTATCAATACAATATTTACTCTACTTTTTGCCAGCAATCCACTCTCTATGATTAAGTTTAATCTTTACATAGTGTGATTGTAAAGTCTTACTGCACTGGTTGGGAGATAAAGATCTAGGCTGAATAATGACATCCTAGGCATAAATTTTTAATTTAAACTAGGACATCACATCACTTTGTCATATTGTGATAGAATTGAGGCAGAGCTAGAAAGAAAGAAGTGATCCCTGCACTTAGGCTCAGAAGAGATGATCTTTGTACCTATCAGACTCAGACAGGTCAACTGTGCGCTTGCTGCCACAAAAGAGGAGATTCTTGTATCTGCCAGCCATGGAAGTCACGATCCTTGCACTAGCTGTGTATAAAGATGATCCTTGCATTTGCTGACATGGAGAGGCAATCCAAAAATAAAGCAATCAATTACAACTGTTTTTGTTCTTGTGTTTTGTCATTTTTTGCACCTATTTTTCATTAAGTGCACACAATCCTGTTTTTATTTTTTGACCCCTAGGCCTCAATTCTGTTAGGTGCACTCAGTCACATCAGAGAGCACATTGTCAGTTTAACCCCACTGTATATTGAAAACCCGTCAATCTATTTTTACATTTAAATGGACACTCATTACATTTTGGATTCCTTAACAAAAATACTCAAATGATGATACAGTAGAACCTCGATTATCCGGACTAATTGGGGATGAAGGTAGTCCGGATAAGGAAAAATCCGGATAATCGAAACAAATACTTTAATTTGTCTTTTAATGATAATACAACATGTTTTCTTTTCGATGACATATCGGTAATATTAAAAGTAAATACAGTATTTAAATTGTGATCAAATTTTCAAGAAACAAACGTTCTTATTGAATTTGGACTACTATTGACCAACGCTAACAGACTATCTATTGTTTAAAAGGCCCTCTGGTGAGGCAAGAAGACAGATTTTATAAAATAAAAAGCAGTCGAAACTACATTTTTATGAATAAAAATTTGACAAACTATTTATCGTTTTATGACGAGTAAAATTTTTTCGTCTCGTACACGGCTTTTAAGTAATGCATAAACCTTCGAGGCGCGAGGTCCTTCGGACCGCGAGGCATAGGCGGTGGCCCACGTCGTCCATGCCTTACGCCGCCCTTGGTCGTAGAAATGATGTAATTTGAATATAAATTATTTATAAATGCGTATGTCAAGTTATATTTTTATTACTACGTAAAATATATTTAAGAGTTTACGACCACTGTGATGGGTGAGACGTTGTTGAAACAAAAAAAGTTATGCATTCCATCACGTATATAAACTGTCGTAATTCGCCAAGTGCAAATCAGCAAATTCGTAAAATTTTGTTTATTTTGAACAATCCGGATAATCGAAAATCCGGATAATAGAGGTCCGGATAATGGAGGTTCTACTGTACTTTGTAAAAAGAAAAAGCCCTCATTTAACTGATATCAATATTGTAGTGCTGTGCAACTATACTTGTGAAGTGACTTCTTAATTCTGTTATTTTATATCTGTATCGTGTGTAATTGTAATTCTGTTCAGTTTGTGTCAGGTTTTGAGTTGTCTTATGTGCGTGTTCTTTTTTTTATTTTATTTATTTATTTTACTTGTCCCATACCACCCTATTCTGGGTCGTATGATGAAAACACTGCTAATAGGTCAACTGCCAGGTCATGTGACAGGTAACCCTTCTGTGATGGCGGGAGGTATAAAAGTGAAGGTTCAACCTGTCGGAGCACCTTTTTTTTTTTTCTCTGCCTTCTTGAACCTTGGAGGTTACTTTTGGAAGGACTTTGGGACGAAATGAGTGAGTGTGGAGCCATGGTAAGCCTCAGTTAGGACAAAGAAAAGATTGTACATGTTTTAAGGAAAGGTAATCCGATTCCATCGACCACAGACCACAGATAGATTGGCGCAGAGGATGATAAGGTGAATAGATACGCATTAATGGAACCCAATGTGACTATTATTTTTTTAAAAAGTTGTGACTTTCTACAAACAAGTGGGTTTCAGTAAACAGATTGTAAGGAAGAGAACCACCAGAAGAAAAAAAACCCCAGAATTAGTGCCAAGAAGATTGTTCCTACCCATGGTCTGTCTTGTGAATGTTGTACAGTACATGTGTATATGCCATTATCGCAGGTGAAGTTCATGTCAGTCACCTCAACAAATGTTAGTCAATTAAGTGTGGCAATGAAGTTGTGTCAGTTATACTGTAGTGTTAATTCATTATGTTTCCATTTGCAGTTATTAAACATGTTTACAAAAATGTAACATGAAAGTTGACAGTCCTCAATTTATTACCCCTCGCTTAATCTCGATATATTTCGATATATCTGAGTTACTACAATATTAACATGTAATACAGTACTTTTAATTGTGGTTGTTAGTTAATTATTGATTGGAAACAAATTGATAGCTTTAATAAACAGGTTTATTAATATTATAAATATTTATAATATAAATATATCTTAACAAAAGTGTATTATTATTTTCTTTTACTAACTTTTGGAACCTAACCCTATGTTTTGCATTAGTCCTTCATTTCATATAGCATAGACATAACACGGCATTTTTTTCTGAATATAACTACCATGTTATATGAGGGATACCTGTATATTGCATAAATATTCAATTATTTCTTTAGAATACGTTCAGATGCATCTATTCCATCATTAATTAATATATAAAAGTATCATTTCAGACTTTCTGTGTGAGAAAACATGAGAATAATAAAATCTTGTATAAATTTTTTACATTTCAGATTATTAAATGTCAATTTATTTGATGGAAAATGTTATTGATCATTTACATATTTTTTTTTTTAGCTCACTATGATATTGATTACACTACTGGGAATGTAATGACATTTGGTGCAGTATTTGCTGTTTTCTTCAGTGGAATAACTGGGATAATGGCTGGGGCCAACATGTCAGGTAAGATCCTGTTAAATTATAATTATTGTTTTTCCTTTTCTATAGATTATGCTTTTGTTACAGGTGATTTAAAAGAACCAAGCAAATCAATACCTCGAGGAACTCTTTCTGCTGTTGGATTTACTTTTTTTACCTACAGTGTTTTAATATTATTAACTGCAGCCACATGTTCAAAGTTAGTTGTAGCATATTTTTGTTTTAAGTAATAATTAAATTAAAATAGTTAGTTAGTTTGGCTTGAGTAACAGCAGTAATTTAAATATTTTACAATAATCTTGTGTGAAATTTCTTTACAAAGTATTATAGCTAATAGCAGTGGGGTAGCAAATGTGATCCAGCCATAATTGCCAGTTTAATTAAAGATATCAGATATTAGAACAATAATTACATACAGTTTGAGAAAAATATTGAAACTTGATTTTGTGTATACAGTAAAATTTGTTTATTGTAATCATATATATCTGTTGACTATACATTTTACCATATTTTTCAAAATGACTGGCAGACCACACATAAATGGGGGAGACCAGCATGCCAGTTAAACTGCGACTAAAATATAAAATTAATCAGATCTAACAAAACAAGTTATTTAAATGTTAAAGAAAACATTTTTCCCAGTACAATAAAATAACATTCAGTTTGACTGACTTAAAATCAGAAGAGTGTTTTCGTTTACAAGACAATAAAACAATTTACAACTTACTGACATTAGTAGTAGTTAGTGTGGGATACACTAACCATCTACTCTGACTTCAAAAATAACACCTTCCTCTCAAATTTTACACAAAGTGGATGTTAGTTGGTATAAGTTGAGATAATTTACTGGGAGTTTATGTGAAAGTGTGTGTGTAAAATACATGATAATACTTTGTACCTAACTTTTGGTAATAAATTAATTTTATTATTTACACTTGTCTTTTTTTTATGGACCATCAGAACTTGAAAAAAACAGCCTACATATTTATTAATTTCAATCACCATTTAATCTTAATCATTAGACATGCACAGTGGGCACTGTGTCCTGCATATGATATAATTTATTATACAGTAAGTGTGCTGTGGTTGTGGATTGTAATTTAAATCATAGTATCAATGTTGTGGCTGCATAAAAAAAAATATCTATTGTATATATCCATTACAAACAGTAAATCCTTCCAACATTTCTTCTTTATCTCTTTTTGCATGGGCCAAATAAATTATACAGTAAAACCTGCGTAAACTGGAATTGTATATTACCAAATGTTTTTCCAGTTTGTCAAGTTCCCATTTTGAACAGGCGTCCTTTGAACTTTGGCACCAATCCTGATTTCTACCCAAAGTTTTATTGAACTATCAAGATTGCTGGTCCTCAATGTGTTTTCTTTTCTGTTTCTAAAAAGTAGCAGCTGTAGCTGAAAGGTTTCCAACTTCTCTTTGTGATAGTTTATAAGCAACAAAATATTTTCCCTTTGTTTTTCCATAATTGTTGGAGTGGGAGGTCAAAAATTGTTCATTCCACACACTTTTCCTTTGTCTTCCTTTTAATACAAAACATAATTTTTTTTGTAATGCTTTGTTTGACAAAAATATCTCTATATAAAAACTTTTTCAAAACAACTTTCAGTGATGTGTTCTGACCTCACAGTATAAATCAATTTTTATACTATCTGTCTTGTTTAATTGGATAAGTTTTTGGTGTAATGAACTTCTCACAGATAGTATCAAAATTAATTGATTTGACAGTATCAAGAATGTAAAATAATAGTAAACAATTGAAATAAAATTATAAATGAGATTAGAAAATTTAAATATTTTGAATGAAACACAAATATATGAATTTCTTTATTAAAGTAGGTAAATAATCAGACTTTTTGAAAATTTTAAAATAAAACAATAATAAATACAAAACTTAGTATAAAATACTTTACATGAAGATCGAATGTTCGATTTAATGAAGATTAGTAACTTCATATTTTTATATTCTGCTGTCTACAGCAAATTTAAATCAATGTAGAAAAGAGATATGATATTTTTTAGTATTTTATCCTGTCTTAACATGAAAAAAGAACAAAAACAAAACAAAATTGTATAAAATTGTTATTTTTTTTCATTTACAAATTTCAAATTTTTTAAATTTATCATTATAAACTGAAAATCTACATATTCATTGAAAGAGGGTTTTGTAGTATAATTTACTTCTTGTTTGGAAGATTATGTTAATTTTCTATTGGTCATTAATAGGTGTGATATTTGAGTGATCTTGGGGACAAAGATATAAATTTTAAAACAAAATCTGTAATTCGCTTGACAGGATACAGGTTACTTTACAGGATGCCAGCCAATATCTCTCCCAAATGAATATACAATGAGGCAAACTACAATTTATACACAAGCTATTCCTGCCTACACTTACACGGTACAGTTCTTTCTTTTGGTCACCGAACTAATGTGTCTTATCAAATTAAATATATATATATATATATATATTTTGTATCTTGTTGCGTGGTATTTATCCACTAGACGAGGATGTCATTGTTACGGATAACAAAACTGGGATGCGGGAGATTATTAGATAACCTTCATCCCGTTTGATCTGATAACGACGATGATGTACAGTACAATCGATACTTAAGTTAATGTTTTCTTTAAAATTTTCGGTTATTTTACTCTCATGTGTTAAGTAAAAGTGGGAATATCTATCTTAGCGCAGATAACAAGAGATAAACAACTTGAGCTATCCGTTTACAAGACAGTTCATCTGTTTATGTGGACGGTAATTAGACTAAGACCTCGTCCGAGTTGTGATGTAATGAGGCAGATAGCGGCTTAANGGACTACGGCTGTTTGAAAGGTTTTCTTCCATAAAATTAATCGATTCTAGACTAATTTGACTCAACATTTCCAAAACATGTATAATTTTTTGGGAATAATCCGTATAAACTATGCTATAAACAAAAAATTGTAGGATTACTTACTGAATGTGCACCGTTCGACGTGGCCATTGCTTAAGCTTGTTTTCATCGCGGAGCAGCGCACCAAAGAGTGGGCGCGTTTTCTAATAAGTTATTTTTCTGTGAAAAATTTGTTGAACTTTGGAGACATCATTAATAGAAATAATTTTTATGGGCGTTGAATAAGAAATGTTTTTTCACAAGAAATATATAAAATTACAGTACTGTATTAGACTTACAGTACCTAATTTATATACTGTATAGACAATAGTAAACTCAACTTATCTGCCTAAACGCTCCTAGCATGTAAGTAGTTCAGCTGCTCATCCACTATTGGTCCAGAATCGACCAATCCTGTTGCAACAACACGAGTCGGCGATGACATTTTACAGCATTTTACGAGTCCCTTTTAGCATCTTTATATGAATACGGTCACAATTTTTTTGCTGTGATATAAGAATCTGCATTATATGAACTCGCGTTATAGGGGGGTTGACTGTACATGGATACAAAATTGTTTTTACTACTCAGGCTACAAAGGAAATTAACCAGTATACCAAAACCCATTGAACTACTTTCCATTTAGTCAATTTCATTTGAAATGGATTAAATCGATTTTGGTCAATTTTATATTATAATGGACCACCCTGTACAGTACACATGTATCTAAACCATTCAATTTTTTTTTTTTTAACTCTGCTCTGTGGGCACTAAGCTAAGAGGGCCTCATTAAGCAAGCCCACAATGGGGCGGCTGGGTGGCGAGGGATGGGGATCGACATATCTTATCGGATCACCCCCAGAAAAATTCCTGAGGATTTTTTGACCTGTCCTGATTTGATCCCAGGTCCCCCAGAGTGGTTGGATGACACCTTAACCGCTTGGCTGTCAGGCCATCCCAATCAATGTATCATCATCAAATATGACTTTAATATTCTTTGATACCCTAGAAAAAATTGTGGAGGTTTCCACCTTCAAACACCCCTAAAACCTTATTGCAGCAGCAAACTGCCTCTTGTGGAAGGGCACAAGTACACCAACAAGAAGTGTGTAAATAGTTAAGAACAGAAGGAGTACTTTGTTTTTGTACTCTGAAGGAATAACTTGAATGGAGTCATACTCTTGACTAGTTGTTGATAGATTGTATGTAATTTTAGTAGCTTCTTCACCACAGTAAAAATAAGAATGTCATATCAGATGGCTGGGCTTTATAATTTTTGAATTCCCACAGCACCTCTCCCTGTTAATTTTAGCCTGAGCATTTCTTTTGTTTTGAAATTTCACAATTGTAAATACCAAGGTTAATAAATGCACATTTTAGAATACAAGATCATTTGTTTTTGTTACCCTCTTTCAACCTATCCTCACCAATTCTCCATCCCTTCAAAAGCCCAAGCAACACCAGGCACATGCAGCATCTAATTTCATTTAAATTAAGAATGAAATTATTACTGCAAAAATGTTATAAAAAGTTAGAAAGTTTTTATATGTATCTTGTAAGGGATATGAGCAAAAAAATACTCTCAAAAATTTTGTGTAGAATGATAATTAAAATATTCTGTTTGACAGTTTTTATTTAAATTTAAAAAAGTCATAATGTTTTTTATTTCTATCTGATTTAGTATACTTCTGAAGAATAACAATGTCTACATGGAATACATCAATTTATGGCCTCCATTTGTTACAATTGGATTATTTATGGCAACTTTGTCTGCTGCTTTAAGCAATTTAATTGGTTCATCAAGAGTACTGGAAGCAGTTGCAAAAGATGAATTATTTGGTATGTATAAAAAAAATTTTGACATTTGGCATAGATGATGCCTGTAGCTATTATACAATGTGTGCTGTTTAGATTTATCTTACTAATAATATCTTAAATCTCAGATTGTGTGTAAAGTAATTTCTAATTATTTTGTGTAAGTTATTTATGAAGTTATCAGTTTCATTTAAAATGAATGTTAATTATTAACTATTAGATGATTAAAGTGTTTATGAACTTCAGTTGGTCCAGCAGTGAAAATATTTTTTGTATCTACTGTCCAGTTGTGAGACTGATGACTAAAATGCTGTATATAAAAGATTGTTTGTTTATAAAAGTATTGTGATAATATTTATAAATATGATCACAATACTTTTATCAATAAATTATCACTAAAATTGAAAAATAAATTATTTTAGACTTTATACATTCAGTATTAGGAAATTAGATGATATTACATTAAATGCTTCAAAACCATACATGTGTTATGGACCAAATGATTAATATGCCATTTTGAATAATGACTAAAATGGCAGCATAGCCTGATAAATATTGATTACTTCATTAAATTGACCAGACATTATGCATAAATCTGATTTCCTTCGGGCAATTTGATTTTCAAAAACTCCAGTTTTTTTCATTACAAATTATTTATTTTTGTGAATTGTTTCAAAGTATATTAAGAAAATCTTGCTCATATTATATGGTTTATATTAATGTAGGTATATTTATTACATTAAACTTTTTATTAATCAACACACCCTACATAATTTATTTTAATAATGATTCTGTTTATTAACTTTGGCAATTACTTTGCACATAGCATTCGACAAAATAATTTGTGAAATTTCACTTACAAACTGGAATATTTTTTAAAAGTAAGAATTATTAACTGTGTTAATATTTTTTGTTAACATTAATTTCATTATTAATAAAACCATATAACTTTGTCATAAAAAAAATCAACTTAAAGGAAACTTTTGTAATGTCGTTTTGGTATATGGTGTAAAAAATTTTAATATTTTGTTGATGATCATTCTTCAAAATATTATCATCACCACTTTGCCCGACAGATGCTAGCAGTATTCATATTGATTACTCAATGTGATAAATTACAATGAAGAATGTGAAATTTATTACAATGCCTGCTGTTGTTTGTTTTTTTACAATGGCTAATGCATAATGACTGGGCATTGTTTATAATGCCCAAAATTTTGCTTCACTTTATAAACTGTTTACTTAAAATTTTAATTATTCAATTAATACATTAACATTTGTCACAATAAAACAAAAGAATAACAAAACATTTAGCAGTTATTTGTAATTCTATGATCTAGAATATAGTTTAAATTTATTTTAAATTATTATTATTATTTAAAAATAATAATTTTTTAATTATCAAACTTTTTAATATTTAAGAAGTTTAAAAAATAATTTTTAGGTTATTTTACAAGATGTATAGTCAGTTGTAGTAGAAAAAATAACCCCATTCTTGCTGTTATTATTGCATGGTTTTTAATTCAGGTATGTAAATATGTAATTAAACTTTTTGAATAAAACTATTTCAAATTTAATTTATAATAATTTAATTAATTTGCAGTTAGTGTTGTTAATGGGAGCTTTGAATATTATTGCTCAAATAACTTCAGTATTATTTTTGCTCTCCTATTTGTCGACAAATTTAACATGTCTTGCTTTGGAAGTAGCATCTGCACCAAATTTTCGGTAATTTGTTTTAATGTAAATATAAAATTTAACATTAAAATAATCATATTTTTTTCAAATAAAATTTTTAATTTAAATACATATAGATTTTAACTTAAAATAATTAAGTTTTAATTGCAAAGGTTTTATTGAGTGATATTTTCTTCAGTCACACCAATTCCTGATTTATGGCTATAATTTTCCATCCATTTTCTCCAAATTGTCATGGTTATTGTCATGATTTATTGTCATGGTTACAAAAACATTTAACTTTATATACATTGTACTGTCTTTTCTCGATACAAGTAATGATAAAATAATTTATATTTAATGATAAACAGAAAAATATAATAAAGGTCCTTAATAACACTTTAAAAATCACATTGTCTGTAACAGTATCTACAACTATGCAAACTATGCAACAAAGCCCTAATAAAGCAGGAATTGGTGTGACTATCAAAAGTTGGAGATTGGAAAAAAGAAATACTGAATATATAATTCAAATTATCTAAAAACTTTTTACATAGATAATTATTTTGCTCTTGGGTGTCCATAGAAAATTTTCTAAGGAAGGGGGAAAACTTTGAGACATAATTACATCAATAAATTTTTATTTAATACTAATCCCAAACCAAATATCTTACTCAGCTCCTTTAATAATAAATCATCCAACACTTGATGCTGAGAAAACGACTATTAAAGAAACATTAACTTTTTCAACCTAATATGATAGGCCATCTTCAGATTCAAGTATTCTGAAACGTATTTAACTTAATATTTAAACATCAGAACGTTCGAATACTTTTACATTTAAATTTATAACCAAAATACTGGATAAATTAACAAATAAATAATAAAATACAACAAATGTACTAAACGAACTAATACAATAACAATGTAAATAATGTAATAAATTAAAAATAAATACACAAAAAATGTCACTAAGTATAAGGGCAGGTGCGGGCTAAGAATTTTTGCATTTTAGTTTTTCTTTTATGTAGAACTTCCATGTGGAAGCTAGTCTGTCCACATCCCTGGCATTAATACAACCATCTTTTAATTTACTTTTATATATTTTGATTTTTTCTTCGTGCGTTGCCAATGATGGAGAACGCATAGTCCTGAGGATAGTCATTTCATTCCATTTAACCAGAGTCATTTTATTCCGTTTAAGCAGCGATGAGAGATTGTACTAACTGTCCCCATTTTAGGGGAGTGGATGACATTAGTTTGCCACCCGCCCGATATTGGGTCGACTCGATCGGCATTTCAAATCGAGACTAGCAGTCGACAAAAATATTTGTGTCCACAAAACAGTTAAAATATAATTTTGTTTATATTTTAAATTGAAAAAATATCTTATATTAGTTCATTAGGCAATCTTATAATCGAGATGGGTTGATGATGATAAGCGCAGAGCCCAAACGGTTAGGAGTTGAAATTTGATATACAGGGTACGTCATGAGAACGTACACTAAGAAGGGATTTTTAAAAATTCTCCCTCGAGAGGGAGAGGGTTAATCAATCATTTCCACTTTTAGAGAGTCCTGTGCTCGTAATGAATCAAATTTTTCTAAACTAAAATAAACTTTAGAAAATATTCAAAGGAATTGGGAGTTTTCGGCAGAATCGGAAATCTTATCGGAATCGTGAAAAATTTTGATATCGTCCCACCACTAAAAGTTAGACCTGAAGCTGATCTCTGAATTAGGCAGAAAACATCAGTAACTATATGGAACTTTTTGGAAAAGAAGTGCCCACCAGTGGCCAAGCGGTCTTCGTACCCTGAACACTGGGAGTTCGTTGTGGGTTCGCGCCTTGCTCGGATGGGCTAGCCACACGGAGTTTTCCTGATTTCTCTACGTCTAACACCTAAATAGGGGACAGTTTCCCTTAAAAAGACCAGAAGGCATTCCCCTAGGCCAGGGGTCAGAATTAGCGGCTCGCGAGCCGCATGCGGCTCTTTGCATAGTCTTTGAATAGACATTTGCGGCTCTTCAGAAATAAACTCCAATTTCATCTCACCTCATTTCACTGCAGCCTTATAACTTATGAGTTTATGAGATAGAGCCACCGAACAAACTTTGACTTGTTCTCCGTCCACACATGACCACACTCGCGTTGATCAATATGAGTTTCATAAGAGTGGTAGCATTTGAAGCATATCTATATATATAACCCATTGAACGCGTGTCCGTCCATCCGTGTAACGTTATGCCGAAAACGGCCAGTAGAGGCGCCTTTGTCGTGTGTCGTATTTCACACATTTAAATTAATATGCGGCTCTCTGGTACTTTTGTTATCCTGTTTTCATGACAATTTGGCTCTTCTCACTTGACAAACTGCCGACCCCTGCCCTAGGCAGATCGCCCAAGTGTTGCGTTTCCATAACCAACAACAACGGAAAAGTAGTAGTGGTTTTTAAGTTTTTTATGGTTTTGTTTTAACTTTTGTATATAAATTTTGAATTCATTTATTAAAATAAGCCAGTAGATATTTTAATTCTATAGCTTTATAACTTGAATGCTTTTTTCTTATTCTGTGTCATTTAATGTGTGTATAAAATTGTTTAACTTACAAAACCTACCAAATTTTAAAAGTTGTGAAATTAAATTATTAATTTGCATTATTTTTTAATGTATAATTTGTGTAATTTGTTAGATTTAAGTAAAACATCATTTTTAAAATAAAAATTGCCGTAGGACAATTAGATTTGTGGAATTATTTTTAATGTCACAAATTGAAATAGTCTGTTTCCAAATCACAATTAAAATTCATATTATTGTTTTTCAGGCCCATGTTTAAGTATTTTTCGTGGTATACAGCACTTATTGGGCTGATTGGATGCGGTTCTATGATGTTTTTCATAAGTGTTGCTTATGCCAGTTTGTGTATCGTTTGTTTCATTTTACTGTTTTTGTGTTTGCATTTGCGTTCTCCACCCATCCGATGGGGTTCTATCAGTCAAGCAATTATATTTCATCAGGTAAGTTGAATCTTTGATGAAAATAAAGTTCTATGTGCTAGAGAGAATTCTAAGCTCAAATATCTTGTTTTTTAGGTTCGAAAGTATTTATTACTCCTTGACAGTAGAAAGGATCACGTGAAGTTTTGGAGACCACAGTTTTTATTTTTGGTCGCTAATCCACGTTCTGCCATACCTTTGATATCTTTTGCAAATGACATAAAGAAGAGTGGACTCTACGTATTGGGACATGTAAAAATAGGAGAAACAGAGGATTATGATATAGATCCCGTAACGTCGGAATATCCCTTATGGTTAACTCTTCTAGATAAACTTAAAGTAAGTAATATAGTAGAACTTAATCTTCTCCACAGTTCCTATTTATTTATTTATGGATGGTAAATTTTTCTAATGTATTAATACTTGTTTTGATGACAAAGGTTTTTTACTTTTTCTGTCTTGAAATATAAACCAAGACCAACCAAGACCTTTCAATAAGCCTATAATGGCTTTGGCCAGGCCAATTTTTCATACGGAACAGTTATCTGAACATTTCCAGTGATTCAATTTGACCCCTTGTAGCAGTGCAGCTGTCATTTTGAAGCATCCAGATTCAGAGAATCCCAAATTCATTAAGCTAATTTTCTGGATCTTCTAAATACAGCAATTGTCTTCGACTTTCAAACTTTAGATTTTTCAGGAGTCAGAACTCAGATCATTCGCTTTTATTAATAGATTTTTAACCTGCTTCTTTTTATCAGTCGTTTACAGATAAAATGCCAATCGGAACTACCTCTATTCAACTTTTTTTATTAAGCAAGGAAGTTATACAAGGAATATATCTCAATACTGTATTTGATAATTTATTAAAAATTTTACTAATGAAGCTGAAAACATGATGGCCAGATGGGCAAGCAGCTAGGATGGTAGCCTATCCTTAGAGTGGATTCGACCCACCCAGATTCAATTCTGGATGGATCGAAAAAAATTCAAATTTTTCAGGGCTTGATCCATCTGGATTATGTCAGGCCTATTCTTCACCATCTGACTATCTCCATTATAAGCTTGGCTGAACCCATGGACTTAATAAAAAAAAAAAGCCTCCTAGTGCTCACAGGGTAGTTTTAAAAAAGCCCTAAAATGTAAATTTTTAAAATTCACGAGTATAATTTTTATTATGCATTTGATTGTAATGTCTCTTAGAATATCATATTTGAACAAGACAGTATGATTTCTCTTGGAATACGAATACTCTGGATGTTTTTAGAGTAAATTTTGTAGTTTGGTATTTCGCATGAAAATGCTAAAAATATTAATTCCAACTAAACTTGATATTTTTAATTTTATGCAATTTTATAAAATGCATAAAATATTTTAATTAGTTTTTTAAACATTTTTCAGGTGAAAGCATTCGTGGAAGTGACAATGGCCCCTTCGGTGAGGAAAGGTTTTCACCATTTGATACGTATTTCGGGATTGGGAGCCATGAAACCCAATACAGTATTGCTGGGGTTTTATGACGACAGTGATCCTAGAGACTTCTTTGAAGCTGATGGCACCTTTCGAGAGATTCAAAATGTGATGTTGGGCAACGAAAAATTTTTGGAGCTTCGAGGAGTAGATGAACCACACGGAATATGTCCTGAGGAATATGTATCCATGATCTATGATGGTATTTTTCGCCTGCAGAAAAACGTGTGTTTGGCTCGACACTTCCACCTTTTTGATCGAAATGCAGTTATCAAATCCAAACGAAACTATTCCATTGACGTATGGCCTGGTAATGTCTTTACTCCCTCTTCTCTTACCTCTATTGACAACTGTTGGCTGTTCACCATGCAATTGGCCTGCATTCTGCAGATGGTTCCGGGTTGGAAGTCCAAGACTAAGTTGAGGGTATTCATGTGCGTCGGATCTGGAACAGATAGTGAAGCGCACAGCGAAACTCGATGGGTGAATATGTTGCGCATGTTGAGAATTCGTGCCACGATTAAAGTGGTGGCCTACGATGACCTGTCGAAGGAATTCTCGGCTTCGGAGAATGGACTTCCCAATGATTCATACCTGAGACGGGTCAATTCTACTATTCGTTCGCACGGTTGTAATACTTCAGTAGTATTTGTGTATCTTCCTCCACCTCCGAACGATCCTAACTTGTATTCGCCTTACTTACGGAAGTTGGACATTCTCACGGTAGATCTTCCTCCTACACTATTAGTCCACGGAATCAGTCCTGTCACCTCCACCACCCTCTAACAATTCAATAGATTTTTTTACGTAGTTTTTACGATAACTTTTCGGAATTATTGTACATAGAAGGTTCCGGGCAGACACGTGCTGTACTCTCGGGTAGATAAATAATTGGGGCGTGCGCAATAATAAATTATTTATTACGAATCTAGTCATCTAAACTGTTGTTTTTTGAATTATTTAAAAGACGAAAAGTAATTGCATTGTGAAATTTTAATGGAGAAATTAATAAAAAGATTATTTATGACGAGTCATTGATTTTTTTAAGTTTATAAAGGTAAATATTTTTATGTGGGATCTTTAAGCGAATGTATATGTCATATTACAGGAAAACCATTTTATACATTACATTAGTTTTGTGTCTTGGCTTTAATTTTTTTCAAATATAATGTTTAAGATATTTATGCTTAGGATCTGTCGCAAATTATTCGCAGTTTAATAATTGAACTCTAATGCAAGTTGTCTCAATTTTGATCTAGTATTTCACAAGTAAGAGACTCGGAATACCAACAGAACAATAGCAACAATCATCCTGTCATTTGTTAAGATCTGTTAGTACCTTATTTGATGCGCAAATTCAGGTAGTCGGATTGCATAACTTTACTACTATTCGGTAGCCCATCAATTGTTGACATCAATTTTGCGTATTTGCCCGTACATCTTGAAGTCGAATTGTAACGTATTAATCTTGAAACGAACTGATACTTTTTTTATCACAATGGGTAAAATTTTCAACTAGGACTACGCTGTAAACCCTTGAAGAGAGACCGTGGCGCGTTATAGCTTCATCGGGCACAGAAAAATTTGAATGAGGACCCACCATGTACAGTGTTGACTTCAGTTTATTCGTGGGAGTTCCTCTATCCCCGTTTGTTTTTAAACGCGAGCTTTAAAACCCTCCAAAGGTCGAAAGGGTGGGGGGGATAGAGGAGTCGGGAGTATCTCGAGAGGAATCGACTTAATGAAGGTTTAAAATTTTTTTATAAAACACATTTCTATCCACAAAATTAGTCATTTTCCTCATTTTATAAGTTTTTTGTAACAAAATCTCTAATACAGTGGTTCCCAACCTTTTTTCATTAGCGTACCCCGTGACATGTCATATCTCTAGATTGTACCCCTCATTTAAGAAATTTAGTGAGTATCCGTATAGTTAATTTTACATATTGTAACTTTAAATTAAAGAAAAAAAAGTAAATGAAAAAATGTATAATAAAGTTGTGGTTGTTGCAAGGAACATATTTTACCTAATAATTTTTAATACTATTAGTTTGTGATACATAATATATTATTTTTTCTGCCATAATAACTAACTTTTTTCTGTACCCCTAAACAACCTATCGCGTACCCCTAGGGGTACGCGTTCCACAGGTTGGGAATCGCTGCTCTAATAGATAACGCCACACGCAATTTTATTTGATTAATAATGTAAAGTTATTTTTTAAAAACTCCAATTTGCAATCTGCCCTGACAAGTTTTAATGTTAACTTTCTATACTACTGTACTTGTAATAATCCACCGGTGCCGCCATATTTCTGCGTCCTTTGCATTAATGCATGTATCTTGTAGCCTGCCCTTATAAATTCCAATCTTTTCTGCGCTCTTCGCCAAACTCTGGGAGTGAACGGATTTAACAATATCTGCTTCCTCCCATTTTATTATGGAGCCTTCATCTTGCGCCATCTGAGATAATACTGTGGCCTTGGATCTCTTATTGACATTATATTTGTGTTCCTTCAGTCTAATTTCCAAATTTCTTGTAATAACACTAATATGGTTTTTCTTGATTCCTAATTTCATGTTTTCATAAGGAATCCTGTACACTCCTGCTTTTCCTTCTTTATTAATGCTGTCCTTGTCATTCCTTAATATCTTACATAGGTTCGGAGCTCTTTTCAAAATCAATTTCGACTTTTTGCGGTCCGAAATTTCTTACATAATGGTTTTTCTTTCATATATATTTTTTTCCCCAGCAACTTAAGGTGTTTTGGTGTAGTGTATTATTTGCTGAGTGAGTTTTTGTTGAATGTTAAATATGGCGGCACCGGTGGATTATTACAAGAAGTATAGGAATTTAATATTAAAACTTGTGTTTTGAAGGAATATTTGAAAAGCAAAGTTATTTTTTAATTAAATAAAATCTTAACAGCAAGGAAAGTTATGCAATTTGTTGCTGGAGTTTTTTAGTTTAATAGCAAATAGACTTTGCCATTGTTTATTGAAGTCAATTGGAATATATTAATAGATCATATTAATGCAAGAATAACATTAATAAATGATTACTTAGTAAATAATCATTATGGATATAATTTATATAGTAATTAACTGATTTTCGTTAAATCGATTTAATTATTATTATTTTTTTTTGCGATACTAGGTATTTTCTAGGAAAACAAAATTGAGTTTCGCGTTTTAAGTTTTTTTTGTTTCTGCTTCAAACGAGAACAGACGTGGTGACACGCTTCTAACGTTCTGTCTAAAGCAGTTTAAAACTCGCAGGTTGGAGATGACGTGCATGTTCAACGTCATAACCGATAAAAACTTCCAAGAAACCTTTAAAACACCAACTCCAGAAACCGGTTAAAGCACGCGCGTGTACGGCCGCAGACCGTGCATGTTAAACACCGGTCGTAAAGATCAAAATAACAAATTGTAGAGTTCAATGCAAAGTAATAGCAATCGGAAACTCGATTGACATGTAGCGCGCAACCAACTTACAAACGAAAATCGGCGCATAAATTTCACATGGTTAAATTTTATCACGGATAACTCGGCCCAAATATCGAATTTCAGAATTCCGCTTCGTAGAATTCTGAAATTGTACTGTACATATTTACAAAAAATCATGTTTAGTGGTAGTACGGTTATGTTAAACTTCGATCACAAACAAAACACTTTGACTTATACAGAACTTCGTTCAATAACGTTATTTTGATTTAACGTAACACTGCAGACTTTAAGGGTTCAGCTCAAGGAATATAGTCCTTGGGTTCAGCCTATATCTCTGCGGAACCGGAAGCGAATCCTAACGAGTCAAAAACCCCAGGAAGTTTTTGGTTGGAGCAGAGTCGGTAGATTAACTGGTCTTTCGACTTCCTATCTTCGCTCGTTNAGGTAGACGTTAGGCACCATCTCTTAAGTAAATTAATAATTATAATTAAATAAATAAATTATTAAATAAATTTAGAACCTTCTGGAATAAAAGAACTGGTCCGGGAAGGAGCTCAAACCTATAACCTCCACTTGCCAGTTATGCCACCCAAACCCCGAGCGAGCCTTTGCTTCCAGAAGTATATTCTGGAAGCGAAGGCTCACTCCAGATTATACCATCTATGGTTTGCAGAGAGAATTTTTTATTTAACAAATGTTTTTAATGTATTAACACAAGCCAACTTTATATTTTAAACTGAAATTAAAAATTATTACAAAAGTAGAACATTGTGTTTTGAATTTTACATTTAAACTTAATATTTTAAATACAATTTAAAATTGCATGAATTAAATTAAATTAATTAACCCCTTATTAAATAAATACATTATGAACAGTATAAAGTTGACAAAATAAAATTAAGAAAATGTAAAATAAAAATTAATAAAGTATAACATAAAAGTAAAATCAAAGATGATTGTAGGACTATTGTTTTTTAATTTTGCTCTTGTATATATCTATCTTTTCCATGCCCATAGCAATGGTTTGACTGCATAATAATGCTTTGTCCCGCTTTACAACTTAGCCTTGAAGGCTCAGTTGTAAAATGGGATGAAGAAAATATTAAAACAATGCCCAAACACAAGGGATGCAAATTTCAATGTCAAAGATATTACACTTTGGCATTGAAATATGTCATGTTAAAGCATTAGGATATAAAAATCCCTGAGTTGTGTATCCTCTTACAATCAACTTTGATTTTACTTTTGTGTTATACTTCCTTAATTTTCATTTTATTTTTATTTTGTTAACTTTATATTTTTTATAATTTATTTAATTCATGCAATTTTAAATTTGTATTTAAAATATTAAATTTAAATGTAAAATTTGAAACAGTTTTCTCTCAGTGAACCTTAGTTAGTGTAATAAGACTATAGTTTCTCTCTGCTAAGTAAATTCTTTATGAATATATGTTAGTGAAATAAATAAATATTTTATTTTTATGTTGCCAATATTATTTGCATTCACATCAATAGAAAGTATTGTGTTTACTCTATCAAACAATTGGAATTTTTTATTTTGATCATGTTAAAAATTTATATAACTTAGAGAACTGAATCTGATTGAGCAGTTTGGTAAGTGAAAATGTTTACAGCTGTTCTCAACCCAGTTTATAAAGCTGTATTCATGTTTAAAGCAATTTTCTTTGATCTGATGATATTGTAATGGCTAGATGGCCAAGTGATTATGCTGGCAGCCTACAGCTCTGGAAGAGCTGGGATCAAACCCAGATGGATCAGAAAATCCCCAATAATTGTCTAGGGTCTGTATGTTGGCCACATCCCTCACCATCTGGCCACCCCATTAATGGATCTGGATGAATACATAAAAGGCTTGCTATAAAGATCCTCTTAGTGCCTAAGGACTGAAAGAATTAATAGTTGTTTTCTTTGATCATTGACATTAAAAAAAATAATACACCAAACTGTTAAGACATATAGCTTTGCTGATCATAGGCATTACTGACTCAAAATAAAATCACTTAGTTTGGGTGAATGATGTGTCTCGATTCTAACCTCTGTGATAAATTACAAGGATATAGATTTTAGACCAGTCTGGATCTCCCAGGGTAGTAGGTTTAATATCTTGTCATGTTACCATATGACTGATTGTTAGTATATGTGAAAAGATGTAAATATTTATAGTAAAAACTAATTTACTTTACATCTAAATTAGTTAGCATTAAATTTTAATTATAAAAATAACTTAGAAGTATCTTAGTATTTGATTCCATAAAATTTTTAGAATAAAAAATTTATAGAAGTCTAAATTTCAGTCTTATGATTAGAGTCTGTATATTCATTTGTTTAAAATAAATTTGTTGTCATTTAAGTAGCAGTGATTCATATATATATTTTCAAATTGTATTTACACTTATATTTTACATTTTTGATTTGTTTGACTATGTTTAATTATACACATATAAAATTATTTTTATTTGATGCTAATTTATAGTCAAACAAATCAAGAATGTACAATATTTTCTTGTGTAGTACATATATTCTTTTGTGTAAAATATAAGTGTAAATACAATTCTGAAATAAAGATATATATAGATATCTAAAATATAGAATATAAGATAAGATATATTGTCATAAGATAGGTAGATATGCTGAATATAGTCTATAATTGTAAGACTGAAATTTATAATTTACTGTATATAAACAAATGAAGACTAACACTTCAAAATTACAAATTTACTCAAAATAGTAGTTTTTGTTTGCTTGTAACAGACATATTCATGTAAAATACATAAAAAACCATATAATTTCTATTTTGAGTTAATTTGTGCTAGTTTTAGATGTTGGTCTTCATTTATGTAAATTCATCCAGTTTTTGAAGAGTAATTATATAAACAAATGTAAGAATAATCAGTAATATTATTCTTTCTATTGTGACATACAGTTTTATTTTTGTTTTTATCTTTTACTGTTGAAACAGCATTACTATATCGGTGATACCAGATATAGGACATCTAGTGATATAGGTCACATTTATGTGATATTTAACTATTTAATAAAAAAGTATATTACTTTATAGAATTAAATAAATTTGAATTTTATAATTATTTATAAAAACAGTAAAATGAGTAGTAAAAATTACTTATACAAAATATATTTCTTTTTAATATAGCAAAAAATTTCAGGTTACTAGAGATTTGTCATTTTACACTTGCTTACAATCTCCACTTTTATCCTAGTATAAAATAACATATTCTATTATGATTGTATGAAATTTCATATTTTGCTTGACCATTTTGGATTTGTTATTTTACTTTATGGATATTAAGCTTCAGGATATAGGATGGATTAGCTCAATTAACGATGGTTTTCCAGTAATTGGTTATAATAAGCAAATGTCTACTGTATTGAAACATCACTAAGAAAACTTATTTACCAGGACCATATTTTGCTTATTCATTGAAAGTTAATTGGTAGAAGATGTATTATCCCAGATAACTTAATTAGAATAAAAGTCAAAATAGTGTTTATACAGAATGTTATTTGTTGTATATCAAACACACCTTTTTACTGAGAGACTGTTTATGGGATATATAACAGGTCATGAGTGTATAACAATTAATTCATTCTTACACATATCCTAGAAAAAAGAAAACGGAGAGGGATAGGAACAACAGTATCACAAAATTCACATACAACAGAGACCTATCCAGTATTATGAAGGAGATTGTGAATTACAAAAACACGACACTACTGTACAAAAGGGCTCCCACAATATATAACTTAGGAATGACAAATATAAGATCAAAAAGGAAGAACAAGCAGGTGCATACATGATACTGTATAAGAATGACCAATTAGGTGTCAACAAGGATTATATAGGTGTCACAACCAGAAACCTAAACAAAAGAATCAAGGAGCATAAGTATGATATAAACAAAGGACACTATTCAACAGCATTATCGAAGATAGCACAAACAGATGGGTTGGTAGTCGAATGGGCAGAAGCCAGAATTATTGCACCAGTGTGTTAACCGTCTCTGGCATTAACATTGGGAAAATGCAAAATCTATAAATCTATCCTAACTGGAAAATGTTTGAACTATAAAGATGCCACAATTTTACCTTTGGCTTGGAAGTATATAATATCAAAGAGAGCTTGTAGTTTAATGCATAGCACATAGTCGATATAAAAATCCTGTTATACAGTAGAGCATCGATTATCCAACTCAATTGGGGACTCAGGTTGGTCGGATAACTGAAAAAATCGGATAACCGAAAATAATGAAAAAAATACATTATTAGTATAGTACAGTCGACCCCCCTATAACGTACGTTCCTATAATGACAATTCCTATAACGTAGCGAAAAAATTGTAGAAACTTTCGTATAACGTACCTCCTATAACGTCGTTTCGCGAGAAGATTGATAGAGTCTGGACCAATAGTGGATGAGCAGCCGAACTANTATCGGATATGTAGGATTCCGTCCCTTGTCATTTCGGCCGTTCCATCGTGAGCGTGGCAGAACCCGTAAGGGATTTGATTAAAAAAGGCTGTTAGTTGTTATCCATATATGACGTCCATATTGGAAGGAAGGGAGGGGATTGAACTTCAATCGACGTCCATTTTATTTCACTAAATTTTATACAGTTTATGCACGTATTATTCATAAAGTAATAAAGGTTTTGAGGGGGGTTGAGTTTTGTTGGACATCCGAAGAGGAGAGGAAATTATGGAAACTTGAACAATGAGGGAAAGGGAATAAAATTGTCAAGAAAAATGCGGACGTAATTTATGAACATCTCCCTAGCGTCCACAGGGAGGAAAGAGTAAATAAATTAAAAAATAATTTAAATCGGCACTTTCATTAAATTTTTTTTCTTCTATGTAAACATAATTTATTAATAAGTCTATTTGAACAGAATGTAATTATATAACAATTAAATATACAAAAATTTTAAATTCAGATCTACGTTTTCATTTATTACCACCAGTCTTCCAGATAAAATGGAAGACGAAAAGGTGGAAGAGGGAAACAAACCAAAATTAAATTTCAAAGAAAAAATAATTGTAGATGCCGTTGCTGCCGCATTGAATAAGGAACGTTTTGTAGAAGATATTCACAGCGAGACAAACAATTCGCAACAGAATGAAGCGAGTGGAGACAGAGAACAGAACTATAGTAAGCCGGTTGTTTCGTATTTACCTGTGTTGATAAATATAGGACTTTTAAGTTTCTTTTTTTCCTATGGGAGACAATTGCGCTTAGTTAGCAAGATTACGCAAATTTACACGTTTACTAAATGACGATGAATATTTTATCACTAATTCCAATATTTACTAACGATTACTTGTAATTAACTGTGTTTTTAAGCTCATAAATACATAATTTTTCATTATTCTGTTAGTAAATATGTCTTTTTACGTCTTCTAAATAATGAGTAAGAATGGACCAATAGAGAAATGTTTAAACGTAAATTTAAAATATTGATCCTTCGAGAAGTGTCTTTTCAAACACAACAATGATTATTTTTTTTAATTAAATCCGCTACAAAAGTACAAACAGATATACAAACAGATATACAAACATTTTCAAGCTCGTGTACTGATTTTTAGAGTTAAAAAGTCCTGAATGAGCTTGGAAATGTTAGTGTGTGTCATTTGTTGATTTGTCATTAAGCAAGTTTTGATCTTTATTCAGTGATGCAATAATTTCTTGTAGGGAATTTTCAAATTATCACTATTAAATGGATGATCTGATGAATGCAAATGTTATTGTGATGTCATTTACCAAATATTGCTATTAGTAATTGGGTGTAGCTAGGCTTTCTATCACCCAGGCAAGTTAATCTTACCTGGATTCTCCCTCTTATTCTGGAGAATGGCATGTTGTAAGTTGGTCTGTGTCACTACTCATCTTCTCCTTTCTTACTCATTCTTCCCTGTTAGTGCCATCTTACCTGGCACCAATAAATTATCTATTATAATTTATTTTTTCAAATGATTTAATTTTGTAAATAAGGCTGCGTTTGTACTGCTGATGATGACGACAAAAACTGACATTTTTATTGTTTGTCTTTGTCTGTAAAATGTTCACACAAGTCGTTATCGTTGGTCTTCCTTCTTAGTTATTTGTCGTTCTAAAGTTAGACGAGATATAACTTTTGTCATTGTTGTGACAGAATTGGCCAATTAGTGTGAACTTCCCACAATTCTTTGAACAAGATGGAGGAACCACTAATATCTTGTGTCAAAGAAAGTGATCCTATGAAGCATAATAAATGGTAGTAGGTAATAAATAATAAAGCAGGGCTTCTTAAACTATGGGTCACGACCCCATTTGGGGTCGCTTAGCGAAATCTTGGGGTTGCGAGATTTTAATGCAAAATATTGAAAATAATTTGAGAGTTTTAAAATGGCATGCTTTGTGTCAGGTTTTGTGAGTTGCGCTTTGTGTCACTTCTGGTGCAGCGAGACAATGATTCAGCAACATTGATTGTAGTGTGAAATAGTGTAGTGTTGTTGCTATTCAGTGTATTCAGTTGTCTCTGTTCCATTGTAACACAAGAGTGAACTGTGGTAGTACACCATTATTGCTTATGCAAATTTGTATATATCTTTATTTTATATTTTTTTGGGTCACAAAAAGAAATCACAATCATAAATGGGGTCGTGAATAAAAAAAGTTTAAGAAGCCCTGGTCTAAAGTATTTGGAGACAAAAAATAATTTTAAAAGTATTTGATATCTTTTAATCGTTATTCCTGGACCAAAGCATGGAACCAAAGCATTGGCTTGTTTTCTCTCTATATGAATGCTATGATTACCATAACGTTTTGATATTTTCCTTAACAAAAGTAATAAATTCCTCTGTCAAAGTTGAAGAATTAACATTTTACTTCTTATTTTCAATTTTAAAACAGACTGGTGTAAAAGAGCAGAAAGCCATAGAATAATGCTAAGCATAATGTACATTGCACATACTCTAAGACAAAAACTAATAAATGATGTGAATGCTTTGGCAATGAATGAAAACAAAGAAAGACAAACCATCATTATCGTTTAGGATCTGTGGTTGTCATCGTCAGCAATGTGAATGCAGCCTAATTCAATCAATAATTATATACACACCCCACTCAACATCCCTTTCTAGCACCCAGGGCAATGCTCCATCTGATTTCCCTGTGTCCCAGCAATAATAATAATTTTTTAAAGCCAAACAATTGCTGGTTTAGATCATGCTGTATTTCTGCTACTATTAATAACTAAATGCTAAGTAAATCATCAATACACCTTTATTGCTGAGATATTCAAAACACTAACATTTTTGACCTAATAGAATAGGCCATCTTCAGGTGTAACTGAATTCGAATGTATTTAAAAATTTAATATTTTAAAGATGGAATGTTAAAATATTTTACATTTAAATTTAAAATGAAAATATTAGATACCAACAGATGAGCCCGGCATTTCCCGGGCAAAAAACAACAACAAAGATTAAGATTATTATATTATTTCGTACTTCTAATCCTTCTATTCTAGTAGTCCAGGATGCCCTCTAGTGGGTGTTCTAGCAGCAGCGGTGTCATTCCGTGGTACAGTAGAGCCTCGAAAACTCGGCCTAATGTGGACCGAAGAGTGGCCGAGTTTGTGAAAATGCCGGGTTATTGGGAATGGGGTTAAAAAAAATAAGTATGAGTGTTTCCTCAGAAAATACTGTACTGTACTTGTATGTATTGTTTACTTGAGAATACAACAGAGAATAAACTGCCCAAATACCCTTAAACAAAGGAAAAGTATGTCTTTTATGAAGGCATAGAGCCTTTACTACATGAAAATGAAAATTAATGAATACACTGTACAGTAAGTTACCTGATAAGACAGACCTCAGAAAAATACTTTATTTCGTACTTCTAATCCTTCTATTCTAGTAGTCCAGGATGCCCTCTAGTGGGTGTTCTAGCAGCAGCGGTGTCATTCCGTGGTACAGTAGAGCATATTCATATAAATAATAAATTCCTATTACAAATAAAAATAATAATATACTGAATTTCTCATGGCATACCCTACTAAAACACAGCCAAAAATGCAAAAGACTGCATCAAATAATAATATACTGAATTTATTGTTAATTTAAATAATAGCTAGGGATGCCCCTAGTGGCCATTTTTTCATACAGTGACAGAAAAAGAAATAATTTGGTTTTTCAACTTTATATAGTTAGATATTAACAAATGTTAAATTTTTAAATATGTTCAAATTCAGTTATACCTGAAGATGGCCTATTCTATTAGGTCGAAAACTTTAGTGTTTTGAATAAACATATCGTTTATTCAAAACACTAACACTATATATGGTTTATTTCCGTAAATGTTTAAAGTTGAGTTGGATTTTTATTTAAATGCTAAGTACAGTGGTGCCTCGTACAACGTACTTAATCCGTTCCAGGTGCATGNTTTATTAATATTTATTAAAAGACACTCCGACAGTTCCCTGTTAGTGTTTTCTGTTCTTTCCTGTAAATGTTTCTGCTGAATCAAATGCAGAAACACAGGAAAGAACAGCAAACAGTAAAAATACATCAGTGTTTTGTACTAAATAAACAATCTCTTTTTTTGTAATTGGACTTTGTTGAACACAATTTCTACAGAAGTGAGATAGCAAAAAACTGTTTATGGTCACTTTTCTACAGGTGCCAATTATTTCCTTGGTGATATGACAGGTGATTTAAAAGTTATAGGAGATATACAGACTTTCCTTTGAACTTTGTATAAATAAATTTATAGTAAAGAACTGTTTTATTTGAATGTAAAAAAATTAATCTGTAGAAAAATATCTGTAAGCTCCTTAGATTGTTTGATATTTTTTAAGTTTGTTGTTTTCAAGAAACTGCTTCAGGTTGCTTAAAAGTTTTTTGATGATAATGTCATCCAATTAAAATTGTCTTGAAAATGTTCTCCATGCTGCTGACACAATGTTAATGTCTTTGAAATTAATGGCTTTGCCTAGGGTTACTATTTTATATATGTGTAATATCTCTGCATATCAGATGTAATGTTTACTTCATATTTTTGGATGATTCTGACTTGACTACAGTTAATTGCAATATAGTTAGGATTGGATGAAGCTGCTAGGGTGGTTACTAAATTATATCAATACTTCCAGATGTCATTGTGATGTCTTTAATCTTATTTTCAGTGATCATATAGTCACTCCAATGTAGTATAGATCATGTGTAATTCTATGATCCTTAACTAGAACCTGATACACTCCTGTAACATGCAATGGTTTGTGAGAGACGCTGTCATTTCATAGGATTCTGTATATTGTCGCATTCCTTTTAAAAATAAATCTACCACTGTTACTTATCCTATCTCTCCAAGGGTAAAGATGTTTCACTCTTATGTAACACACAATCTGTAATCAATATAAATGATATGATTTTCTGCAATAATTGATAACAGGCAATGAATAAAATTCCATTTCAATAACTACAATAAATTACAGTACTTAAACAGTTATATTTCAATATTCTTATATTATTCTGTTTCTAAGACCTAATAATTCTACAAATTTTACTAATTCAAGTTAAATTGGTAGGAAAAATATTGAATAATATTCAGGAAAATTTGGTGTATAAAAATATAAACACACTTCACAATATGATAAAACAGTGCAGAACTGTTGGAAAGAAGAGATATATAGACTATCCATTTATACTGTTTTTAAAATTGCCATTAGACAAAATTTGAAAATTAATCCTCCTAAATATTTGGTGAGGATTAATTTTCAAATTCAAAATTGTTTACAGTTGAAATTTCTCAGCCAATCAAAAGCATAATTTCAATTTCTGAATGTTAAATAGACAGGAATTCAAGTAAATCAGTTAGAAATCATTTAACTGTTGATAGTGGAATCAAACTTAAAATTTAAGTTACAAATGAAATTCAATTCATTGACAATTTCAATTCTATAAGTTTTTTAGCATTGAGCTGTTAAATTACTTAACTTTTTAAGAAAGTATTTTAGATATTAAAATGTAAAAAACTTTATTAATTAAAAAGATTAAATTTTTATTAATTGCAGATTTATAAACAGAAATAGAAAAATACAGAAATAACTAATCTAAGTGCAAAAAAAGGGGAAATATCAAAAAGTGCTTGGCATTAAAAAATGGAGGAAA